CTTTCCGATCCAAAAAAGAAAATGCAGTAACAGAGAACTAGAGAACAATCGACAACTGTCAAACAGTCATCAGTCCAGACCAATACTACGTGCTCAGTGAACTAAGCTAACTATGTTAGCCAATGCTACCAACTGCGACGGCTAAGCGGCCAAAGCAAACTTTGCTAGCAAAAAGCTAGCTAGCAGCACTTAACCAGCATGAACTTTTATGCTCTCGATAGCGTTACACACCATTACCATGGATATTCATAAGGTAGCTTTTAGCCTCCTCAACCGAAGCAAGTCTCTTCTTACCCCCGTCCTTAGTCGTGATGATAAGCCTGGCCGGGAATAGCAGCACAGGCCTCAGGCCGAGATTGTAGAGGTCCACTAACACCTCTCGATACTTGGAACAGCAGTTACATTCTGGCGCCTCAGACACCATTTAAGGTGGAACGGGAAAATTTGAAGAAGACGCTGGTGAATGAGAAGCGACTTCAGCCTCACAAAAAGTCGAATGTTGAGTAACATTCTACAAGAAACAATTCTACTTTTGTGGAAAAGTTTCCTGTCGGAGATGTGAGAAAAGCAGCTATAGCTGAGCTAAAGCTTCAAGCAGAGCAAAGTAAGGCTGTGCTTCTGTTTATATTGTATTTTTTAGTCTATACTAGTACATTAGCACATAATGAGACATTTTTACAGCCAAGATGGTGAAATGGACATAACATGTTGTGGCTCCCAAGGTGGTTCGATTTTTGTTGAAAGGACAAAATGGCTCTTCTTAACATTTGGGTTGCCGACCTCTTATCTGTGTAGAGATACTGGTGTCAGCTGGTTCCAACGCATGGTGTGATTGGTTGCTGCATGAAGATTCAAAGCGACAGCCATGAGATGCAGTTTGACTCACGGTGTTTCACCATGTGGTCCATGGTGGTCTCTGGGAGGGGCTGTGGTTATGCTGCTCTTTTACTGTTTGTTGTTTGCCTTGTGATTTGAGCTGATGGAGTTACACCAGTATTAACTAGACTTGATGTTTGTATTAGTGATTTGATTTAGTACTGTTTAGCTGTGTCTCCTGTTTGATACGTGTACGATGTTGCTTGTTTAACAATTGCTATAACTTACTAGTCACAACTATGTTGGGGTGAGAGCCACTTGTTTTTCAGATGTATCCTTTTCTCCTGTTTACCTGTTGAGACACTGTTTTTTCACATCATTACTTGATATAGGATTTCAGATGCTCAACATTTCAGGGGCTCATTTATCATAATTTTCATTTCATAATGCGCCAAATGTTTTCAGTGGTGACAGGTTTGGACTGCAGGCAGACCAGTTTAGCACCCGGACTCTATTAATACAGTGGTGTGTAATGTGGTTATGCATATGTGGAAATAAGCAAGGCCTTTCCTGAAAAAGACGTCATCTGGACGGCAGCATATGTTGCTAAAACATGTAGGTATTGTTCAGCATTAATGGTGCCTTCACAGATGTGCCAGTCACCCATGCCATGTGCACTAATGCACCCCTATACCATCATGAATACTGGCTTTTAAACTGTGCACTGATTACAAGCTGAGTGGTCTTTTCCCCAGAGGACACAGTGTCCATAATTTCCCCAAAAAAATTTCAAATGTTGATTCGTCAGACCACAGGACACTTTTCCACTTCCTCACAGTCCATTTTAAAGGACCTCGGAGTCACAGAAGGTGGCAGCATTCTTGGATCTTGTTTATACATGGATTCTTCTTTGCATTTTAGAGTTTTCACTTGTATTTGTACTTGTATTGTCTGTTTTCACAGACAGTGGTTTTCAGAAGTGTTTCTGAGCCCATGCAGTGATTTCCACTACAGAATCTGTTTTGAATGCAGTGCTGCCTGAGGGCCCAAAGATCATGGCCAGCAAATACTGGTTTTTGGCCTCGTCCCTTACATACAGAGATTTCTCCAGATTCTCTGAATCTTTTAATGGTATTATGTACCGTAGATGATAGGGGTGCGGGAAAAAATCGATTCTTAGATGCATCGCGATGCGGACGTGAACGATTCTGAATCGATTCACAAATGTCAAAAATCGATTTTATAAATATTTAATTTATAACGTAATGTTGACGGAACGCAAAAGGCGGAACTTGGAAGTGGGTAAGTGCAGCCCCGGACAGTCTGTGACGGCACACAACAAAAACACACATGGATGAGCGAGAAATCCGACTGGCACCCTGCATTAAAAGCCAGGTTAGGTCAGGAGCCACAACACAAACATTAAGAAGAGCCATTTTGTCCTTTCAATTAAAATCAAACCACCTTGGAAGCCACAACATTTTATGTCCAGTATGTCTCAGTATGCGATAATGTCTTAGTATAGGCTAAACAATATAAACAAGAGTGCGGATTTACTTCGCTCTGCTTTAGCCGCTTTACTCCCCTTTCCGCCAGAAAACTTTTCCTCAAAACTAGAGCAGTTTCTTGTAAAATGTCTCTCAGCAGTCAGCTGTCTTACGAGTTATGAATTTTCCCGTTCCACCTTAAATTCTGACTGAGGCGCCAAATGTAAATGCGGCACCATTTAAGGTGGAACGAGAAAATTCGGAAGAGAAGCGACTTCATCTTTGCGACTTTTTACTGTTTGACAGTCTCTCGTTGCAGATTTAACTTGCCAGGAAACTGGTTATAAACTGCATCGCTTATAAATGCGAATAACGCATCGTTGCTAGGTGACCTGCAGTCTGCACGCCAATTCTCAGTCGTTGCGAAACAGGGCTTTCGCGCTATGCTGCACACGTCCCATCTCGAAGATATTTTGTTGACACAGTGATCCCCCCCATCTCTACAACGAGACCAAAACCAAAGTTATAAAGTCACTAAAACTGGGTAGGATGGCTGTAACGTTTGCTGCGTGGACATCCATTGCCACTGGACCTTATTTCACCGTAACTGCGCAATTTATCGCAGATGAGTGGCAGCAGCGTCTCATGTGCTCCAAGCAATAGCAGTGAATGAGAGTCTTCTAGTTCACTTGCCACATCACTTCCATTTGATTTATTAATAAAAGATACTGGAAGTAAATTCATTATGGATCATTACAAATACTTTGCTTTAAAAGCTATTTTACGTTGAGAGACGTTATTCTTGAATTGTTGCACTATTTGCTCATGCAGTCTTTCACAGAGGTGTGAACGCCTCCTCATCTTTACTTCTGAAAGACGCTCTGGGATGCTTGTTTATACCCAATCATGTTACTGACCTGTTGACCATTAACAATTAGGTGTTTTTTTGTTTTTTGTTTTTTTTTGGAATAACACAACTTTTCCAGCCTTTTGGTGCTCCCGTCCCAACTCTTTTGCAATGTGTTGCTGCCATCAAATTCCAAATGGGCATATATTTTTCAAAAAACAATAAAATTTCTCAGTTTCAACATTTGATATGTTGTCGTTGTACTATTTTCAATTAAATTATAGGGTTTAAATTATTTGCACGTCATTGCATCTTATTTTTATTTACATTTTACACAGCGTCCCAACTTTTTTGGAAATAGGGTTATATTTTCGTTTCACTCTTTCATGTCTCTTCACTCTGTGTGGTTCTGTGTAATGTACTGCTGGTGGCCTTTTGGGCCTAAAGGACCACATTTTACTCCAATGTATGAAAGTTATATAGAAGAATAACAATAAAAACCACTTGACTGAACACCTGAACATGTTTTCTCTTAGGAAATCAACAAAACATGTCATTTGAACAGGGGCGCCAGAACTTTTCCATACAGCTGTATGTATATATGTATACAGTGAGGGTTCCTCAGTGTTTATTGCCCATTTACTTCAATAACAGCAACTCAGAATTCCATTAGATTCATCATGTGGCAACAGTAACCAACGTCTTTCAAAGAGAGCTTGTTTGTGACAACAGTTTAAATGAGTGATGTCACAGACACATTTTAGAACTTTAGCACTGAGAGAACGTTCCGAAACTCAGACTGTGGTCATTTGGCTGCTGGACATCGACACAAACTGCAGACAAAATGCTGCTCTGCTGCTTTTGGCCGCAAGTGGACGAAGACGAACCAAACGAAGCGCGTCAGCTGAGAAAAGCAGGACGTGTTAAGAAAGAAAAGAAATGGAGGAGGAAGAAGAAGGAGAGAGGAAGTGAGGAGGAGCAGGTTGGGAAGCTGGTGGAGGTGCAGGAGGAAGGAGGCGTGAAGGAGAGACAGATTATTGTTGAGGAGGAGAAAGAGAAGGTGTTGGAGGAGGAGAAGGAGGTGATAATGGAGGTGAAGGATGAAGAGCAGCAAGAGGTGCAGGATCCTGAGGAGGTGAGAACTGAGGAGAGTTCAGTATCGATTATGAATTATTCAGTATCTATTAAAGCAATAAGCCGCGAGAGGCTGAGCGTTACTGTGATTGTATCACTGTTTTCTGCTCTAAACTCCCTTTACTGATATAAATCGCAGTAACAGCCTCGAGTGGCTTATTGCTTTAATTAAACGGCGGACAACATAAAAAATGATAAAATACACATTTTTTCAGAAAATAATTTACGTTATTATTAATACTAAGTACTTTTTCGTCACCAAATCACCACCGCGAGTCTAGCTGACCAGCCGAGCTCTAGTTAAGATCATAAGTTGCCAGCCGCTCAGTTTAAACAAAATACGGGTTCTCACTTCATCGATATACTCGGTGGTCCATGTGAGCAGCACGAGAGTCAGAGATTATTCCATTATCAGCACAAGGGTTTTTTCGTACTGTGGCGCAGTAATACAGAGTTCAGTTGCTGTGAGGCGGTCATAGCTGTGCGCATCCCGATGATTGTACAACGGCTTCAAATGCGGCTCAGCCAATCAGATTTTAGGACCGGAACCATCCGTTTTATAATATGAATTATTCAGTAAGTACTATGAATTATTCATTAAATACTATGAAGTATTCAGTATTTACTATGAATTACTCAGTAATTACTCTGATTTATTTAGAAACTACATGGAATTATTCAGCATTTGCTGTGAATAATTCTAGATCTGGTATGAAAATTACATGTAGATTCTTCTACAACAGTCAGTCAGTTTTAAATACAGTAAAATAATCTGAACATCATTTCTAACATAAACAGATGAAGGACGAGGAGAAGCAGGAGGAGCAGGTTGTGGAGGAGGAGGTGAAAGTTGAGGGCAATGACAGAATGGAGAAAGATATCCTGCTGGAGGAGGTCAATGTGGAGACGGCTGTGGTGGAGGAGGAGAAGGATGAGAAGAAGGGCAAAAAAAAGGTCAGAATGGTGGTGGTGTTGATCATGGAGAGGAAGAAAGAAGAGAAGCAGCAGGTGCAGGATATCGAGGAGGAGGTGAAGGTTGTGGAGACTGTTGAGGTCCTGGAGGAGGAGGTCAGTGTGGAGAGCCCAGCTGTGGTGGAGGAGGTCAGTGTGGAGAGCCCGTCTGTGCTGGAGGAACAGAAGGCAGAGCTGGAGAATATCAGAGACAGAACAGAGGAGAAGATGTTGCTGGAGGAGGAGGAGAAGGACTGTGTGGCAGCAGATCTGCTCTGTAAGTTCAGCCAGGAATGCGTGATAAAATAAGAGTTCATAATTATTACTTTAAAGCAGATAAACAACTAATTTTACTACTAATTTCATCATTTCAGGTCTTCCAGTCTGGGAGGAATCCAGGGTTTCTGTGTCTGCTGAAGCTGAGATGATTCAGCAACTGCTTGAAGGTAAAACTGTGAGAGAGAATGAAGAGAACTCAGCCACTGTTTAAACATCATAGTAAACTGAGTTTTACTCACTTTTTCAAAATAAAGGTGTTTGATGTAGTTTGTAAACATTGTTAATATTTCTAAATGTCCTGTTTACTGTATATTGCATGGGTCCATTCTCAGCACAGCAGTAGTGTGTGTGTCATTCAAGGTGGTGCTGCTGAAGCTTTTACACATATCAGAGTCACTGCTGTGCTGAGAATCAACCACCCAAATAATATCTGGATAGTGGTGGTCCTTTGGTGGTCCCTTTCCAATGATGGATTGTTAAAGGGGGCTGATGAACTTTTCATCAGCAGATGAGCTACAGTCTGTAACTGTAAACATACAAAGTGTCCACTTTCTTTGCTCACATCAGAGCTGCTGCAGGAAGCAGTTATGAAGTCGACCTTCACTGCTTCTGATGAGAACGTGGAGCAGCAGCTGCAGGAACCCAGCAACTCTAACAGCTCTGCTGCAGCCCAGACTGACCACTGCAGGACCCACATTAAGACTGAATGGGCGACAAAGCTCAAAGAGGAGCAAGGTAGCAGTTTATGATGCTTTAGCATTAAGAAGCCCACACACTTGACTTTCATTGTTCCTTTGATTCATTATTCACTTTCTCTGTTCATCAGAAGTGTCTCTCGCCCTCGTCACCACTGACCACTCCACCTGCACAGCTAACAGAGCTGATAGGAGCGCTGCTGAGCCTGACTGTGAGAGTTTAGATGATGGATTTGATCTGGATTGTGCTGCAGTGATGGAGAGAAAGTGGCTGAAGCACTTCAGAGAGAGAGACGAGCACCTGAGGTGGAGTGACGACGTCCATGTCATTCAGAGGCCTGACCACCATGTTGAGGAACAAGGTGAAGCAGAAAGGAGGAGATTACAGTGCTGTGTGTGAATTTACACAAGCCAACATATCTCATATCTCTCATCATGAGACCGTTGTACGCTTATTATAAAAATATTGAACTAATTTCTGAACATTTTGGCTTGATGTACGTGACTTTATTGAGTGAGACAATATAGACGTAACTAATTTTGCTTGTTTGAAGAAATATGATTGAAACAAGCAAACTTACAGGCCAATGTAGTGAAATCATTTGACCTAAATCATTTAAAACAAGAAAAAAAAGTGACTAATCTTATGATAAGCTTACAACCAATATTAAAAATATTAGATATATTAACTAGATATAAGATAATTTCACTTGCCAAGATATCATTTAGGCAGTGTTTACATGAATACTGAAAAAAACATCTCTAATCTCTAATGAAGCCAATATATCTCATATTTCTCATTACGAGACTGTTGTAAGAATAAGATTATTTAACCTATTTCACAGTTTTTGCTTGTTTCTAGCAGTAGTGTTACTAACTGAAAGTGTCTTATTCCATTGGCAGATGATTCCACCTGTTTCAGGGAATAATGCAGATAATTTTGTGCCATCCATTTAAATCTTTCTTTACATAAAATGAGAAAAACGAGAAAATGTCGATAAATATGTTAAATAATCTTATAGTATTCTCACAAGAATCTCATAATAAGAAATATTAGATATATTGAATAGATTTAAGATGTTTTCAGTTGCTCAGATATTTTTTGCAGTGTACTGTGTAGTAATTGTCTTAAATGTAAATGTTTTTCTGGCCCAGTTTGCAGCATCATTGGAGCAACTACTGACGACAACATTCAACCGATCAAAGAGTGGATTAATGGTGAGGTTGAAGAAACAGTGTAAACTGTCAAAGAGAGAAATGATGAATATGAATCAATCATACATTCACACAGTGTTAATACTGATCGTCACATCCACTGCAGTGAATGAAAATGTGGTTAAACTTGGTTTTACTCCTCCTAGACCTGCTCCTCAACACAGCTCCTCACAGCACTCTGATCAGACTGGACGAGAGGGAGACGAACACCATCAAGGTCCCCTTTCATCACAGCATCAGTGTCCGCCCACAGGACTGTGAGGTCAGGATGCTGAAGATGAAGATGATGAGGAAGAGGACGTGGTCAGAGAGACTCACAGAGCTGAACGGTATGTTAGACATGCTGTATTAAAGCTGCTGTGGAGATTCGGCGGCCATAACACACCTGACTAGCGAGCGTCCATCAGCAACAGCACCACAAAGACAGACCTGATATCCTACTGTTACTGTTGTGTGCAAAAGTTTGGGCACCTCTGGACAAGTTACATGTTGCTGTTGTGAAAATAAGTGAACACAACCTCTACAGAGATCACACTTCTGCACAATTTAATGCACTGTTTACTGTTTATTTATTGAATTTGACATATTAGGGAAAAAAGAGAAAACGTGGCCTGTTAAGTTTATATTTTTTTCCCAGTATGTTAAATTCAGCAACATTCACAGTAATTGTGTATTAAAATGTACAGTGTGCTCTCTGTAGAGGATGTGTTCACTTATTTTCACTCAGAAGATCAAGAACACGTCATTTGACTGCTGCTTTGTGTTGTAGAGACTCTTCCTGTCGTCCACCCTCTGACCTCACATCCTGTCTCACTGATTGAGCCTCTCCAAAAATTTATCAGCTCTGCTAATAAGCATCTCAGGGAGGGAAATGAAATGAAGCTGAGTGGACAGACCACCACCACTCTGACGTCTGTCTACACCCCTGAGAAAAGTGGTGAGAAATAATGTTTATATACACTATATGTCTAAACATTTGTAGACACCCTTCTAATGAGTGAATTTAGCTACGTTAAAGGGGAATTGCACCATAGTTTTTTAATTTCTGAATAATTCGGCCATTTGATGTGAAATATCAGTGGAATTCCCCTTTAATGTGTAAACATTGCTGACTCAGGTGCTCAATTGCCTCCACTCAGCTTGCACTATCTTCACAGAAAAGTACTGACCAATAGAATGGGACACTCTGGAACAGCTACACATGAGCCTAAAGTCTCCATGCCCAATGCCTAGCCTGGACTAGAGGGGCATGAACTGAATGGAAATGTTGTTGAACTGTGTTTTTCTCCTTCTAGAGCTGCTGCTGGACTCTATGAGGACACCGGAGGAGAAGCAGGAGGTAAAAACCTTCAGGACCTCTTCTGACAACAACGTCACAGATCAGCACCAGGAGTATGAGGTGCAGATCTTGACAATGAAGGTTAACTGGGGCAGGAAATCCAGAGAAAAAACGGTATGTATTATTAGTATTTATTATGTTTAGTGGGTAACGTGAGGTCAAATTGATGAGCTTTATGGGGGCATTTTTTTTTCAAATTTTCTGTTTGAGATGCAAACAGTGATTCAGAGTGGTTTGGTGTGAAATGGTTCAGATTCCTTTACAGTGGTGGTGATAGGAACCAGGGGTCACTATGACTGCAAGATAAATATAGACATTTTACTATCCAAAACCATAAGTGAACCCACACGTGACTTCTGAGTTTTATATGGAATGTTGATGATGGTAAAATAGTGATAAATGTAAACAAACATTTTCTTTGGGGAATATTTTGCCTCACAGCACTCTGCATATATCCCTTCTCCTATTAAAATATATATTTTAGGCCAAAAACTTCTCAAAACTGTTATAAAACAATGTCTCAGACATCAGGAAGTGTATTTTTAACTATTGTATGTAAAAACATTGTGTGAGCGAGCTTTTAGAGGTGCACATCTGGTTCCTATCACCACCACTGTGAACAGTTCTGACTCTGTTATTTTCTCTAGAATAGAGCATTTCACACCAAACCACTCTGAATGACTCTGTTTACATCTTAACCATTTCATTATGCAGGATTTTTTAATAAATAGTGAAATTCCCTCTTTAACTAACTGATAAGTGCGTCTCTTTACCTTTAGTGAATGTATATTGTCCTCTTTCCTGCTTTGATCTGTAGCTCCGCGGCGGCCTCTTCTTCATGCTCCCAAAGCTGGAGGTGCAGTTCATGCATGACACCAGAGGGTCAGATCAGGAGGAAATAGAGTAAAAGACTCAAAGACATGGAGGAGGCATCAGGATGATGGAAAGAGGGAGACGTTGCCCTTTACTTAAACTACCAAAAAGCAATGCAAGCAAAAAAAAGTTTTTAGTGTTTATCGTTATGTTATTGCTATGTTATAAATATTGTTTGAGTTTATTGTTATGTTATTGCTATGTTATAAATATTGTTTGAGTTTATTGTTATGTTATTGCTATGTTATAAATATTGTTTGAGTTTATTGTTATGTTAAAAATATTGTTGGTTATTAGTTAATGTTGAGCTTCATTTTGCGTTATTTTTTCTATTAAGATTTCTAAGTTAATATTCCTTAAATGTCAATGATTTCATTTTTTAAAATGATGTCTTTCTTGTCTTTTAATGATTTCTGTAAAATAAAATAAATCTCTCATTGTTGCTTATTTTTATTGTATTATTTTAACACAAAATATTGTAGTAATGCTCTTATTTCAACATTTTAATGAAACTAAAGGGTTACATTCTTGAAATTCACAATGGAAAATTATCCAATCAGGATTGTTTTCTCTGTGGTATCTGGGTAAATGCAGCCAAGTGAGCTCTCCCATTGGTTAGGACTTCAGGAGCTGGACTGAAGGCCTTAAACGTCAAATTAACTACCAGAGTAATTAGGAAGTGACAAAAGAATCAACCAGTCACATCTGGGACCAATTTATTGAAAAAAAAAACATAACCGTACTCCTTC